AGAGAGAGAGAGAGAGATAGTTAACAGACAGCGAAATTTATTTGAACGCTCGAAAGCATCGACCTTGCCTTCGTCTAGACTTCGATCACCTTTCGTGCAATCATATTCCAACAGCGCAAGCTACAAAATTTCGAACGTACGGACAATATGTCCCGTGTGGTTGGTTTCAAAGGCAAAAATCGATTCCGTTTACCGTTAATAATTAGGAAGCAAGGAAATTAGTCACGTCGATGATGGATCTCATAGTCCAGATTCAGGGACATGTAGGAGACGCGTATTTGGAAGTCTGTGCAGGAAAGGGTAGCATCGATAACGATCCGTGTCTCGAGCAGCGCGCCTCTGATAATCGAATTTCTGTCAGTGAGTGTCACGCAATCTGCTAACCGTGAATATTCGGGCAAATTTACGCGACCTATAAAACATAATACCTAATGTAACTTAATGTAATGTGTGAAAGTAAAATAACGAGGGAGGCAGGTCAATTAATCGGAAAGAGTAAGGAGCACCTGCGCTGCTGATCGAGACGCGTACGCGAATTCGTGCTCGCGAGTGCGTGACGAGAGGCGGCACGAGGATTTTTCATTGAAATTCCGTGAACGTGACGCGGACACGGGAGAAAGCGAGATGGAGGAAACCGCGTGCTTAGTCGCGCCGACGCATCCACCAGTTCATACAGCTCACTCACCTACGAATCGTCCGCCTATCAGCGCGGCCAAACCTCGACTAAAATGCAGCCTTTGGTGCCTCTCGTGCAGGTTCACCTCTGCCCCTTGCTTCGTGTCGTACGCGAGCTCTCCTCGACGCTTGCCAATCGTCTCGCGTCACAACGTTTACTCTCTCCTCTCTTCGTGGAAACGTCACCTCCGTTTCCTTGTCGAGCTGGTCTCGTGAGCGCAGCTCCGAGCGAAAACCCGCCAAGACGCTCGAGTATTTCGTCGCATTCGTGCACGAACAGTAACTGGCGGCCTTGTCATCGAGGCGATCAGTACGGCACCTGAGCGCGCGTACGCTCCAGCGAGACGACTCGCGTTTCCGCCAATGGGAGCGCGGCGTCACCGATGGCCGCGCATGCGCGTCGAGCTACCTGCGTGGCGGCAGCATTCGAACGTTTCATTTATTGAACGTCCCCTGTTCAGTTATCTTACAGCATTAACTAAGCTAATTCGAACGTTTCGATGGAGTTCGTTCTCGATTCATTTTCGTTTTTCATTGTAGCAGCTAGGAACGAACGCCTGTTGGTTAGATTTTCTACTACTGTTGCATGAAAATCGATGAGAAGATAAAATTACGCGAGCGGAATTAAATCCGTTTCACTGTACAGTTGGAGATGCTTAATACACAGTTGTATTGTATTTTAATACACACGTCGCAATTGCGTGTAACATAATTTCTCGGTAACTCTGGCCTTTTGTATTCGATTTCATTTTAATATCCGGGTAAATGAACACTGTCGATGTATTACAAATGCTTTTAAATTTATGATGTTTATTTTTGATGACATATTTTATGTACGTGTTTAATTTGCGTAATTAAAATTATTATTTGAATAAAAGAATGAATTTCAAACGTAAATATGTCTCAGTATCAACGTATACTATTTATTTATAATTAACAACACGAGAGATTGTATTTATAGAATAATTTATATGTAATAAGTTAATTCATTCTCATCCTGAGATCAGACGCAAAATCAATGCATCTCTATCGCATAGTATGCAGAACTTGAGACTCTTGTTACTACTTTTTTGTTTCAATGTTGTCACATTCTCAATGTTATCAGTTCAACAGAGAAAAAGCATTCGTGTCCAGTTCAAAAAATAATTTTCAGTGTAAATGTAACATTCACATTTTGATTATAATTCCTACTACTAGTAGCGCTATGGTAAAAAACCTGTTTAAATCGATATGGTAGAATGTGATACGAAAATGGTAAAAGAACGTTCGAGCACAAACGAGATATCTGAATAAGCATTGCATGACCATGTATTTTCGCGGCCATGGTAATAAGGTCGACATAACCTAACCATTTTCGTGTCAAATCCTGTTGTACCCATTTTGCGACTGCAGCACTACTAGTGGGGAAAATTAAAATTTAAAAAATATGAATAGTGTTGCCAGTTCTGTCTTGAGAATTATTTATTGAATTGAATGGTACTTCATCAATGAGGAAATATAAACAGCGAATTTAAAACAGTGGCTAATGGAAATTGAGATGAAAAATTCAGTACATATTTGACTATTAATACTTATTTAAAAGTATTAAAAAAGATCGACTGAAATATAATATTTTTATGAACAACATAATTAACTATGACGTCTTTTTATTTACAAATGTGTAAATTCACAACCTGAATGAATTATCTTTATCCCGTAAACTCGATTTTATGAAAATTTTAACTTATCAATAAAATATTTCTGCAAATATTGTTTGCAATAAAGAAGCACATTATGTATTGTAAATTATTTCTTGCAAAATTCATCCGTTTCGAAATTTCGAAGGCTAATTTATTTTTTTAAACGATATATGTACATATTTTCTTTCTTACAGTACGATGTTATTTATTAAGATGAACTCAATGAGTTGCATTTTCAATGGCCGAAATTATTTATTGTCATAAATTATTAATAAAAATAATATGAAGTATGAGTGACTTAATGACACACGTGCGTAGTCACTCTCCTCTGGTGAGACCTGGTAATTGATATCGTTTTACAAACATTAAAGTTTGTAAAACGTCATCAAGTCAAGTTGTAATGTGGTTAGCAATAAACTTTAATGTTTGTAAAACGACATCAAGCTAAGAACTACGCAACCTACATTTCAGTTTAAATCTTACTTGGTATAGTCACAGACGAGCTTTACATTTCGATATTGGAAGTTTGACAACACTGTAATGAACATAAAATCATATTGCTGGCGCACTCACTAGTTCCCCAACTCACCGTCATTTAAACGTAGAGTGCGCTGAAAAACCAGTGATTTTTTTATTATGTCGGTATTTCAGATTACGAGCCACGAAATCTCGTAAGATGCTTGGTCATATACCTCGTCTGTGGTCATGAAATGTCTATTCATATATCTTGTGTGTGGTTTAGTCAATGACATTATTTATAGTTTCTGATTTTAATTCTCGTTACCAGTGGCGCTGTAGTGCAAAACCTGACTAAATCGATATGGTAGATTGCGACACGAAAATTGTAAGGAAATCAGATGATCTCTGAAACATGGGACACGAAGATACATTGGTTGTCCAATCTATCATTGTATAAAACAATTTTTTTATCTTACATCTATCACAGCAGAAGATATAAAACGTATTTCTATCGTCAATATTTACATTTACCATTAATTTTAACATCGATCCACGACTCTGTTGTTTCTGAATTATGTCAATGATGGTTTGGTCACCTCTCACAAAGTAATGAATATATATTTTTGAATTCAACTGTTTGCAATGCGATCTGTTGACCTCTTCTTTGGACATATCTTCCTGTCATAAATATCCATGAAAATGTATTGCTGTGCACGTGGCACGTTTCACTGTCAGTATGCCAATGAAGTCAAGTTTGACAAATTAAAAACGAAGTATAGCATCGACGAAGATATAGTTGTGCATTATATAATACGAGACAGAGTGAGTGAAGTCTTCTCGATCTTTTGCCTTCGCGCGGCAATTAATATCTTGCTGCTTCGTATGTTATGACGATCATAATCAAATTTTTAAGATTCACACATCGACACGCGACTGGATCGGAATTTTCCCAAGAGGATGGAGCAACCTACAGCAATATCTTACCTTCGAGTTTGTTGTCCTATCACCCAAAACATCGACTTTGTCCAATCGCAGCATCATGTTTTTACACACGTTTCATCGAGAGGTTATTAAATACGAGTAACTCAACAGTATTAGATATGAGTAATAGCCGAGTTGACATTAAAATTTTAATATTATTAAAACAAGAATTTATTTAGCAGAGTCTGCTAATTGCAGTATGCAAAAGTATCGTTTAATACAATTCTTAGAATTAGAAGTTCCTGAATTATTCTCATTTTTAACATTTCTATTTCTTACTTTAACGAGAATAATTTTAATAATAAATTCTTGACTCAGCTCTATTTAGTTTTAATCTATCTTTAATAACTAATTATTAATTTATCCAAGCTTTAATGACTGATTTAATATTTAATTTAATCATTAATATATTAATTTACTAATCTTGAAACTAGATTTATTTATTCTAAATTTAAACTAAACCTATCTAACGTTTCTCAATAATTAATGATTGAACAATCAGGTCATTTCTACATTTTCCTTGCATCTGTTCAAAATTTTTCTGTTTAAAAACAGGCGTCACCGAACGTCGATTACCAATTTGTTTACGTAAGCAAAGAAATAGAAATCCTGGGAGCCAGCTCTTACTTCCGTTTCATCGTCACCCCGAATCTTCGTTCCTTCGATCGAAAGTCGAATATGGCGGATGTAAGTCACTGCTCGCAACAGGGAATTCGTAATTTCCAGTTGGCTGGTAAATAATAACGCATCCTATCGCTAAGAATCGAACGCAATTTTTCAGTGTGGCGTCGTGAACGATGGTCATCCGCCCTCGATCGTGTCACCATCGACAAGTAACACAGGGAAACTGCTTGGATGTAGTAAATCGTTCGACAATATCCAATCTCATCGAATATGTCGGTCGTTCGCGGACAACCGTAATAGAACTTGTCGATTCTGCTCGAAATCGGCGTCATTTACATCAAACAGGGTGAGACGACGATTATATCCTGCGCTTTCATTTTCTTTTCAAGTTCATTTACTTATAATTTCTATTTTACTCGTTGCCTTACTTATTTTTGTAACAGCGAAAGAGGGTGATTATATTTGAAACTTTCGTTCCTTGGATTTGTTTATTTAAAATCTTTATTCGATCATATTCACATTATTACAATCCTTGTGCTTCAAATTTTCGTTTCTTTTACTCGCCATCTGTGTTTTGTATTTTATTTGGAATTCATTTGTGTATTATGACAGCAATTGACTACATTTTTAAACCTTCATTTCTTAATTTCTTTTCATTTTAACTTCATTCATCGCTCATAACTTGATAAGCGCATACGTCAATATGTGATTTGACATCGATAGAACTGTAATATTTCGCGACAGATTTTCGTTTCTCGAGTTCGACTTGACCAACCAAGAATGTTTTGATATTGCCAGATTCAGTTTCTGCTGTTGCATAATGAACAGCTAGTGGCAAGGGTGGGTCGTTTGGCGCGCGACTTGGAGTTAACGGAAGCAACTGTAAAAAGCGAAAGAATGGCGCAGGCGGTCTTAACAAAGAGATTGCAGGTTTACGAGACGTTCGTCGCGGATATGTTCAAATGTTTGCATCTCACGGGCACCGTGAAGATCATGGATAAAATGGGGAAAGAGGTGTTGATTTAATTTTTATCTCCTTTCATCTTTGCATCAAGTTTTCCATTGCTTTTATTTCGATCCAGACGATCGAATAATTAAATATGAAAATATAATATACAGAAAAGTGACTGTGATTATTTTGTGGCACTATTAATCTCACTTTTACTTCGTTAAGTGATGGATCATCGTTAATTAATTAATCGATTAAAATAACGATTATTATCGGTTTAGATCGTTGTACAAAAAGTAAAACCAAAAGGCGAGGCAGACGACAAGCCTCCCCCTGTTTTAGAAATCTCGTTGTTGAATCAATCTCTCGAACTTAAAGGCGACTCGACAACGAAGATAAATGAAGCGAAAGAAGTTCCTCGAGTATCGGTAAAATCAATCACGTGTGAAAATATAATACGAAAAATTCTCTCGCAAAATAATCCAATAATCAAATAATTCTGCATGTGAAACAATAATTTTCGCAGAATCTGTCCGAAACAGTGAAGAACGAGGAAGACAAGGTTTCCAAAGACCTCGCGGAAAACTTCTCCGTGAAAATAGAGCCAAACGAGAGCGAGCGAAATTTCGAAATTACTCTGTCAGTGGCGAAGGAACAGTGTCAGCTCGATAAGCGAATTTCGATGTCAACGACGGGGTTTAGGGAGGGCAGTGAAAAACGGTGGTAAGAAACGAGCCAAGCCGAAGTTTGCAAATACAGCAGCGAGGTGTGTTTAATAATTCCAGCGATTCTTACGTAACGAAAGCGGCCACGGGCGCGGTAAGTCAACGAGAAGATAATACGTGCAATGTTACCTGTAAAGTCGAACAGCCTAACTGTGTCGAGGCCAAGCCGGAAGACGCAGAGAACGTTGTCAACGACGATAAGAAAACTATAGGAAAACTCGATCCGGTGATAAATTTCGACTTACCGAAATGTTGCTGCGACTGTCATTCGAACGTGTCGAAAACGTCCAATTCGATCAAGAAGTTCGACAACGATAGTGTGAACGGTAAGTAATAACTGCATTTACAAAATATCTTAGAATGGAAAATCCATGCAATTCAAATGAAAAGTTAAAAAGTGTATGAAATATTCGAGCATATAAATCAATTTTCTAGATTCTACTCTTTTAAATCAATTCTCATGGAATCTTTGCCAATCGTTGGCCGAAGGTTCAAATTTTTATCGGTGCAATTAAAGAAACTTGGACAATACATTTTGGATATTTTTCAATATTGCGCGAGTCTCGTGTACTTCCGTAATTGTACAATTCGATTTCTTCTTTCAAGAATGGGTTCTCCAATGCGAATGTGACGTGGAGGTTGCGGATCGAACGTATGAGATGATTGACAATTACGCAGGGCAACAGCGTAATACGGTGGAGGCGAAGAAGGATGGTTTGTCTGCGATTCTTATTAAGGGTAGAAACACGAAATTCGCTGTTATCAAGTAATTGACATTACGCCACTTGTTATCTCTGAATCTTCTGAATCGTCGATAAATTCGAATTGCACGTAGCACATTCTGAGGCGAATAAGAGAATTCACTTTAGGATTAGTTTTCAACGAATTTCAAATTTCTGTAGAGCTATTGCACCACAACGTGTGCGAACAAATTCTCAAAACAATTTTTCAGCGAATTTATCGCGCGAAAGAAAACGTTGCCATATCGTCAAAAACTGTAAATACATGTTGCAGGTATTAACGCACAAAATCAAGCGGATTTCCAAGTGCACTGTTACGAAATCGATCGTTGGATTTGGCTGATGCTGTCGGTGTAAATAGTGAAACGTTTAGTCTTAAAGGCAATTCTCATTAACTGTTACTCGCGTTTGTATCAAGTTACTCCGCATTTGCTCCGAATCTTGTAATTTCTTTGTATTATACTTTCAATAAATTCGATTATAATTCTAACGAAAATCGTGCAACTCATCGACGCAAATTTCTATAACAATTCACTTGCGTCGTTGAAAACGTTTCTATACATTCGAACATACTTTACTTTACTTTCGTTCTATAAATTATTTTAAGATAACGCGGTAGAAAAGTGCGAAATAAGATAACGATTCAAAGTTAGTTTCTCTGTTTCGTAATGCGAAAGTCGCCGATGAAACGCGTTTCAAGCGTGTTTCAGAATTATTTCCCGTTGACTTTCATTTTTTCGTCTGGATCTTTTCACTGCGACAGAAAGACACGATCGCCCGACGGAAATTAAAACATTTCAGCGAAGCACGTGTACCATTGCGTCGGAACGTTTGAAAAACTAACTAAATATAGAATAGGAGCGATGCTATTGTTAGGTTCAACGCGTTTTCGTATCTCCGAGTTTCTCCTTCGACTTCGCCCTTGTGCAGTCGTCATGGGGCTTGTCACAAATTTACGACGCCAGGAAATTCGCCAAGCACACTATCGGATTTTATTGTAATACGCGTTTTCGTATTTTCGCTCGTGCAAGTTCCACGTAATTTTCTTTGCCATTAGCCAAATTGTCTTTATCTTTTATTCTCGGCTGTTGTTATCGTAAGTAATTACTAATGCTCGTAATAAAATATTGAATAATAATTCGTTGGTTGGTAAAATGAAATTCATCGTTCGTTTCTTTTTGCAAGTTTGAACGTTAAAAATTTGACGTGACTTTGTATAAACAGACTCAATGAATAAATCCTTGTTAACAATGTATTGATAAGTATTTTAATGTAGCGAGAGTGGTGTAATATCTTTAGTAAATCAATAATATGAATATCAAAAGAACAAATTTTTCTTTGTCTGGAATAAATGGGCGAATTTGTTGACCATATTATAAAGAAATCTACTGTACATTAATCACGACTGAAATTGCCTGAATCACCGATACCCGTACGATTGATCATATGACCTAAGTAGGAAATTATTTTACCTAAGTATTAAACGGAATATCATAATTTTGAATGTTTCGCGTACATTCAAATTTTCTAATTTCTAAATTCATTAGTCTTTTTAATAAAATTACTCCAAACTTGCTGGTGCTGGAACTGATCAATGAGCAACTACCAAACTGCAAAAATTGAACGTATCAACGAGAATGCAACGACTACTCACGATTATTCCTCTCAACGAAAGCAAAAGAATGCAGAAAGCAATTCTACCTCGTCAGAGTTTACCTCTACCTGTTTCTCCCATTTACGAGACACTAATTTTCTAAGATCAGACGATCCATTTAATGGCGTGTCCCGGGCGTTAAAAAAACGATCACCGCAGGCGATCCAGGAAGTTTACTGAAGGCTGAAGCTACCTGCCGCGGCGTTGCAAACGAGAGAAGACACAGCGTCACACGGAAGTGACGATCGCGCATGCCCGAGAAGCGAAACGAACGTTTCGGGCGAGCCTCGCGCACGCGGTCTTTCGAAACGATATTTTTAGAGAAGTGAGTCGCTGGCCGCAAGCGGCAAACGGTAGTCAAGTGTTGCCGCTGTTGACCCTAAGGAAATCGAACCGAACCCACTGCGAACGATCCACGACTCGGATGACCACCCGGTGAGTGTTCACTCGTGACAGCCTAGAATCGATTTTAAAGCAGCTTCCGCTGTTTGTGAGAAACAAGATCGACCGTTTCGTCTTTCGACGAAACCTGTGGCTTCCCGCACCATTCTTCGAGTTGCACGTTTCGCAATTTCCTGCGACTTTCACGCAACACGGCTCCGACGTGACGCGTCGATATTAAATCACGATCTCGATAGATCGGAAGAGGAACGCCGGCCCGTTCTTATGCATCTATATTTGGATCGCATGCTGAACCGTTCGGTACATCTATTTATGATGTATTTACGGCGCCGGACTTGCGACTCGTGTTCGCGTTTGTTCTGCCTCTCCGACTTCGATCGTTCGTGACGCGATTCCATCTCGATTGTCGGCGATTCATTGACTTTTCCTTCGCGAATTGAGTGGAGATATTGCGTGATATATACGTGAATATTATTGCGAATGTTATTCGATTTTTTCTGGGAAATTTTTGTATCGAAGTTCAGTTTTTCGTTTCAGCTATCAAAGACTTTTAATGATTTATTAACACGTCAACAAGCTGATTTTTATTTAGATAGATCACGAATATTAAAATTATATATATATTTTCTATTTACGTTAATTATAATGATCTGTGAGTATTGATCTATTTATCAAAATATATTACAAATTAATATTGCAAAGTTTGAGCTCTAATATTGAAACGTTCGAAGAACTGGACACTCCATTTGTTTTACAATATATTCATTGTAGTATGCAATAATTACAATATAGGTGATTAAGAGCATGATCAATCTCATGTGTCTGTTCTTCATTTATTATTGTATATAGTTAACGTAACGTCACAGTATAACAGTTCTAATATGAAATCTGGGAGATTGTACTGGCGCGGTTGGTTCTTTGTTATCGTTCGTTGGGAATTGCGCGGCGCTTTTCGATCGTAGATCGAAAGTTATATTTAAGTCATATTTACATCTCGTGTAGAGACTCGACGGCACGCTGATCGTAAAGCTTGTTCGAGGATTCCCTAGCCTGAAAGAGATGCCTTTGATCTCCGGCAGCAGAGAGAAGCAAGCATCGCAACGCGACGACGGAGAAATTTTTCGTTCATTTGTTTTTTTCATTGGAAATAATAAACCACCATTTTTACCAAGTGTCGCGCCTTTCTTGATCGCCTTTCTTCTTGCCAAGGAAGATTAACGCGGATCTTGGAATGAAAGATCTAGACCGATCCGTCTTCTAAAAATACGAGTTGACCCGGTCTGACTTTTTTTCTTCCGTGCCAACTCGCTGTACGAAGCTAATCGAGAGTTCGTGCATTAGTGGGAATTCGTTCGTCTTCGTAACTTCGCGCGAAGTTTAATTGATAAAGTTGGAAAGAGATGTTTATACGGTTTTTGTTACTTGGCGTAGCTAAGGCGCAGTTAGAGAACACGGTGCGCTCGTGGCGTTGTCATTATTTTTTCAACTTACGAATTGAGATACATAGTGAAAGAGTAGTATAAATGTATTCTTTTCTTTCAAGAACGAGACAAATCAATAAGGCAGCCAATATAAAAGAAATTCATTCTCTTATATTATTATGAAAACTTCACAAAAAAATGTGGAAGAGAAATATTTGAAAATTCTGATTAACTATGCTAATAAATACAAGTTCTATGATGGATTTCGTAAAGATTCAAAATCTAGAATTTTAATTTTACTTAGTTTAGGTTAGGTTTAGGTTAGGTTTATAATTCTGTAAAATTATCTAGTCTATAATTCCTAGTCTATAATCCCCTAGTCTATAATTCTGTAAAAATTCTAATTTTATAGAATTTCTCAACTAATTCGAATGTTGCAATTCGTGTTTCATATTTGATGTACGAATCGATTAACATCAATTAGTTAAAAATTATCTAATTCGACGAAATTAGTCTTTATTATTAAACATGTACAAATTACAATGTGCAAATAATTACATATATACAAACATGTAATTATATGTTAATATATATTACGTGTTATAATTATATGTTAATATATATTACGTGTTATAATTACATATACGCATAT